TCACAATTGAAGAGTCTCCAGACTCTTCACCAGTGATGGGCCCAATTATTCCCTCCCTTCCCTTGCCCCTTTTTGAAGGCTTTTTGAATTTAGTATTTTGTGTTGGTTTATGGTATGGCACCACAAGAAACTGCAGTACAGCAAGAGAAGAACAGGTCTGAATGGGAGCAGAAAGGGAATAGACTTCTGGAACTAATGTCATGGATTTCACATCCTTTATTCCTCGGCTGTCTCTGGTATCTGTTTGGAATATGCATCAGACAGTTTGTTCGATGTGCAGGATATTGGTTTGAATGCAGAAGCAGAATACTTAATCTCCATAGGGGATATTTGTTGTTTTCCCCGAATGGTTTATTTTACAGGCAGTTCTGGTATACTGACATTTATTTGGCTGTTTATATGCTTATTTATGCTGGAAATCGAAGAGTAAAACTATATTGCTATTCTTGACCGCCAACTGGCATTCTTTCCTGTGGTATTACACACGTAATCCACAGCAAGGTTGTTGCCAGGTACCTGATGATGTGATTTTTACGTGGTGGACAGATACGGTTGGACTGGATGATCTCTAAGGTCTTTTCCAACCTAGTGATTCTATGATTCTATGATTGCTATTCTTGACCACCAACTGGCATTCTTTCCTGTGGTATTACACACGTAATCCACAGCAAGGTTGTTGCCAGGTACCTGGTGATGTGATTTTTACGTTGCAGTGTAAAACTGAAAGGGTAGATTAGACCTGGGCATCCCTGGCCAGATGTTCCTACATCTCTTGTGATGGTACTGTTAGGAAGGCCCTAGCAGTGGCTGTGGTGCAGAGCAGAAGCTTGGGCTGTCAGTGCTCACCCTGAAGGGGTTTGCTGTCCTCTAGCAGGTCGGGCACAGCACCAGAAGAAATTCTTGTGCAGGCCAGAGGTCACAGAGAAGTTGGTATTAAGGTGTCTCTACTCGCCTGGTGTTTAGTACTGTAGGCACTTCAAACAAAAGAAACGAGGAGCGAGACACTGATTTACTGTTTCTGCCAGTGAATGTCTCAGTTTGCCTCCAAATACACACATGTGGAGCATTATTAACTACAATAAACTTGTTCACTGATTGGTTTGTTTATGCAGCCTTAGAGTAAGTAGCTCTCCAAAGCAGAAAAACGAGCTGGTAAAAGTTCTGCACCCACCGTAACATCTGGCAGTTCAGCCTGTGAATATTGAGGTTATTGTGCCAAGGCTTTCATTGTCCAGGATACTCACAGTGCTGTTTCCAAGGGCTCACACAGTACTCAGCTCAAACTGAGTGTCTGTGTAACTCAGCCCTCTTTAGGCACCAAAGAAGAACTTGGGTCTCACTTTTAAAGGGTAAAAATTACCAGCTCTTGGCTGTGCTGGTATAAACCAGGGAGAAGCCGGTCTGAGCACAGCCCTGTACTTGGGTTGGCTCAGCTTCTTGGGGCTTGACAAACGCTGCCTGTAAGTACAGCCTGCTTGTGTTTCAGCCGGCGCTGCCCTGCTGCAGGTGGAGCCCTGCAAAGCCAGTCCGGACCCCTGGATTACAGCGTACCTCAGTGCGCATTCACCCATCTCTTTCTGGCCACAGTCAGGGCTTTGGTATTTCTGTGTATCTGATACCATCCTGCAAAGCCCAACTGTATTTTCCTTTCAGAAATGGCTCTTTGCAACTGGTAAATTAATGTACTTCTAGGTCCTAAGTCTTGCGGCTAAAGCACAGGCCTTTGTTTCCTATGCACCTGTGGAAAACAGGGATGTGCCGTTTTTCTCGCTGTTGCAACTCGTTCACTAGAGGTGGATTCTTAAGAATTAAATTGGTCCTAATTGTTAACAAAGCTCTGAAAAGGCCCAGACCCAGGAAGAGGGCATATGTCAGCCCTTCTGTCAGGCAGCAAAAGGTTTCTACAGGCAGACCGGTCAACTTCGATGTTGTCATTTTTACAGTGACAAATCTCTTGATTTTTGTGCTCTTGTACTCCAAGTGATATGCTGTACATCTGTCTTGCAGCTTTTAGTGTAACTTAGTCAAAGCCAAGCTGTTTTTTTACATGATTTTTATTTTTCTTCAGGGTCAATTTTATACTTTTTTAAAATTATTTCTGCATTTACTGAGTCATTATCTCGCTGCTGCGGAGGAGGCAGCAGGCAGAACAGCGAGCATGCCCACTCCACTCACCAGCCAAACTGTGCTGGGGGGCTGGGGCTGCCCGGGCGCGGGGCTGAGGACCCAGGTAGCCTTCGGAAACATGTAGCTCCAGTTACCCGCCCTCTAGTTCACGCGGGGCGTTACCCAGGCACAGAATGGTAGGGCAAGGGCAAGGCTGGCTGTGGAGGGGCTCAACTGCCACTTAACGCTTAGTTCTGAATAATTTGTAAGAGTGTTATCAATTTTGTAAACTTTTTAATGTGCTAAAACTTGGTTATGAGGTAACATTTACAAATAAGGGGTAATTTGTGTACTTGTTTTTGTATTTTGGTCTGATTTTTTTCATTGTTGTGCCCTAAGCCCACATCACTGGGCAAATAGTTGTTAAACCTTTGAATTAAAACAAATAAATGCATTTTAATGGATACTGTACGGTTCTGTGATCATTGCGATTGTGCCAGGCATGGAGTCTGTCTTGCTTGAGACATCACAGCTAGGTGAGAAAACCAGAACTGACTTTCCACTTCAGTCGGTCACGTTAACAGCTGGAGTCCGGAGGGGGACTTTAATGGGTAGCGCATCACCAAATCGGAATGTGGATTCTCCTTACGCAGTCTGTACTGCTGGCTGTGGTCCGCCTTGCCTTCGGAGCGGAGCAACGGTAACCAGGATGTCTGGAAGTTCCAAGCATTGAAGTGTGACCTGTGCCTGTCAGTCAGCACAGCCAACCCCGACTTACTGGCAGACCTCGCTGCAGGACATAAATCCTTTAATCGCTGTTGAAATATTCCCTGTCCATGTCTTTCAGGTAAAGAGCTGAGGAAACAAACAGTGTTAGAGCACGACGATGCTCTCTCTACGCATCTTCTGCTGTTCTTGCCTCAAGTTTGGCAGCGTCTTTTGTTTCCTCTTCTGTGTCACGTTAGTGGAAGATGACAGAACACCTACAGAAGTTTTCAGCTCAAAACTTTGCTGAGAAAGCTGCTGTGACTAAGGTACTCAAACAATCTCACACCACAGGTGACAGCAAAGTAGTTTTAATGCACTTCAGAAATGTTTCTGGCTGCAGTTAACGATACATTTAAATAGACTGCAATAATGTTGTGACCTGGTACGTGTCAGCCAAGCAGGTATTTCACTGCAAGGCTCCTGGCAAATACCCGTCTGGGAAGAAAGCCCATGTGGGATATGCCCACGTGTATGATTATATATGCGCTGTAGAAGTTTCAGGTTTTCACGCAGCCGGGCAACAGAACCCATTCTCCAGCGTAATTTCTCTTGAACAGCACACAGAGAGATCCAACAGCTTAAGCAGAAGCCTAGTATGAAGTGCTTTATGGAAACCTGAGACGAACTAAGCAAGCAGCCTCCTTTTTCAGGCACAGCTAATTGTCCTCCGCATCTAATTGTAAGTCAGCCTTTCTTTGTTCATACCAACATAGATGTAAGAATGAGCGAGTTTCCACCTCTGAAACATCCTCATACTCAGCACTGTTTTGCTGGTTTGATTTTTATAGTGTGGGAACTGCAGAGCTGGCTGAAGTAGCAGAAGGATGGGAAACTTGGGGTAGGAAGTTTTAACTGCCTACACCTCTGAATGGAGTGAAAGTTTTAGGTAGATTTTACTCAATTCTTCTAAGGATACCAGATCTGTGAGATAACCAGTGGCAGCTATTTAGTCAGGCACGTTTTCCCTTCAGAGCTTTTTTTTTTTGAAGACTGAGTGAAAGTTTTGAGGCCAGTGGAATAATGGCTGCATCAAGCTTCAACATCTAAAGGTTACATGGCTTTTATTGGCTTGTTTTCAAAGACTGCCTCTACAGCCAGAAGAGCTGTTAATATTGAATTAGTCCATGGCAAACAAAACCACTTCTAAATTCAGGTCTGAATCCCAGGGAGATGTTAGAAACTTCTTGCTTTGCTCGGGGATTATCGTACCAGGGAGATACACTCCCTGTAACTCAGGCTCTGTAGAAAATGTCTCTCGGTGCGCTAAGAGTTTGGCTCAGGGAACAAAGTCTCCAAGTCAGTTTTACCTGCAGTTTGTTTTGTCACCAGCTGGACTGTGGCTTTGCTGCTTCACAGGAACAGGCTCCTTCCCTTCTCAAATAAAACACCTCTGGGGCAGCAGCACAGCTCTCCAGCCCAAAGCAGAGGTTTGCCAAGGCTCCCCCACCCACTGACCAGCACCCCAGGAAGCTCCGCTGCCAGGCCAGGGCTACTGCCGCCACCCTGAAATCCGGTGCCGACGGTGCCGGCTGTCACTGGGCTGAGGGGCTGGTGTGCTGTTCTCACCCTGTTTAAAATGGCCCCACTGTTTGAAGACTACAGCTTTGGGGGAAGGGAAAAAGACAACTTCCCCAGCACTCCACACTTTGCAGGACCCCCCTTAGTCAGCGCAGACTGTACACTATTTTTTCCATAAAATTTGGCCAACGTGACAGTCTGTAGGTTATCTAGCTTGTCATACCTAGCTAAAAGAAATCCCTCGGGGCAAAGCAAGCCACGGTATTCTACAGACTCACACCTCCTCCTGCAGTATGAAGGCAGTGTAGTGCAATCATCATTTTAGGTGATGCTTCAGGACAGCCTCTGATAGGCGTGTTGCACATCATTCTGTTGAGTAACGTTGCTACGAGCAGTGTAGGCCGCGCCTTGGCGGCACCAGTACACGCAAAAGGCTGAAACCACTTCCCCGTCTCGGAGGCTAAGGAGCCCAAGCCCGGCCAAAATCCCGTGTTTCAAGTTAGGTAAAAAGTCTAAACCACAGGAAAGCGTTTCGAACGCCGCCAGCCTTTCACGTGTCAATGAAATGCACAAAGCCACAAAATTAAGCAGAGAAACGTAAAAAGAAATGGTGGTTCTTTTTCCTTATTTTATTGGGTAAATGATTTAAAAGGTAATAACAATAGTGTTAAAACTACTACAATATCTTTCCACAGCCATATCTCACAGACCCACTGATAACCTTCTATATTTTTTTTTTTTTGCCTTTTCCTCATTTTTCTCTTTTTAAGCCATACTTATATTAAAATGCCCATTTCAACAGTTTCTTCACACTTATAGCAATTAAATGTGGAAGGAAGGAGGATCTAGTTATAAAGGAAGGGGGCTGAGGGATTCGGTGATATTATTGTACTCAATCAAGTTACTAAGGAAGGAAGGAGAGGACAGAGGCCGTTCAAGCTACTCCAGGTAGCTCCGCGCCCGCTGTGCGTCACCACTGCATTAAAGATAACTCAAGATGCTGGTGAACAATTAAGTCATTTTTTTTTCTTTGTAACATATAAAACACTAAAATAACTTAGAAACTAGATCCAAATATCTTGAAAAGAATCAACTTTGATATACAAAAACAGTCATAAGTTGTTACAAAAGTCTCAAACAAAAGTCTGTTTTCTCAGTGCGTTTATGTACCAGCGCAATTACTGGGTCCAGAGCAAAGAAAGAGGTTTTTATTTTTCATTTTTTTTCTTTAACAGTAATAAAAAACGAGGAAAACATATCTTTGTATATAAAGAATCATTGCTGGTCTGAAGAATAAATGTAACCAGAAACCCTTAAATCTGAGAGGCACACTTCGGGTTTCTCTTTTCCCCACCACCCCGACTTTTTTTTTTTTTTTTTTAACATAAAAGGAAAGTCACCAGTTTATTTAACTGGAGGAGATATTCAGACCCTCCAAATAAACTTAATTAACATCACTAGCAAAAATCAGTTAGAAACTGTACAAAAATAAAAAAGTGAACACAATGGATCCTGCAGGGATTTCGTAAGGACTGGAAGGCAGGCTTTAGGAGCAGCATCTGGGCATGGCTGGAGGCTTCTTTGGTTCGATCTAACACACGTAAGAGATGTAACCTACTCCAGACAACACTTTTAAAAACCCGCACATTTGAAGACAAGCGAAGAGGTCCGTATACAAACGCGAGGGTGTGCGAAGGGGTGGGACTGCCGTGATCTGCGTGTCGCTGAGGTCAGAACTCTTGTGTGCCCTCCCCTGCCACCATCAGCGCTGGGGCCGAGATGGTGGAGTCAGTGCTACAGCAGGCTGGGCAGAAGGAAGGCCACTTGAAGCATGACTAGGTAAGAGTTTCATGGCAAGTCTACGGTTTTGTTGTTGAACTCAGTTTCCAGAACAGGGTTTTTAGGAACATTGAGCAAAAACAATTAAAAAAACTCACCCCAACAATCTCTGTAATGAATAAGGCAAACTGAGTAGTACTCATAAATTAGCATCCCAACTTAACAGAGCAGGGAAATAAGCTGCTTGCTGTACCTTCTTCTAAAGTACCCCAAATTAAATGTAAAAATCGTATCTAACCCAGCAATGTATCTGAAGGGGTACTGACCAGAGCTACGAGGGAACGATGTTTGCGAAAGCAACTCTTGGTCGGCTTCCAGCAAACAGACCTCTTCTGTCCCAGCGCGTGTCACAGTGAACTGCACGTTCTGCACAAACAAACCCACGGCTACACGGAAACAATCCATAGCGCTTTCAGCACTCCCGTGCTGAGGAGGTAGGTGCCCTGGCAACACTGCGGATAGGCTGCGTATTCCAATCTTTTCAAAAAAGATCGCATACAATCTGATTGACCACAGGCTCCGTAACAGTTTTTTAATTAGTGATACAAAACTCTGGGCCAGAAGGGTCTGGCATTAGCTCATTTCAGAAGCACACCTTTACAGTTTGTATAACACCCTTTTAACTCTAGTTTTGAGCAACAGCTACTAAGAGATAGACAAAAATGCATTGTGCATTATGCTGTGTACAAAAAGGAGACAGGACTACCCTTTTCCCCCCCAAGCCATGGTGGGAAGTATTGCTGACCTTGTCCTTAAAAACCTGCAGGATCGTTTATTCATCAGTATAGCATTATTACACTGGTAAGAAATTCTGTATAACATCTGCATATATCGAAGATTTTTTTTAAAAAATCTGATATGATTTTAGATCCGCATGACCAGTCACGTGACCTGCTTGAGGTTGATTAGCACCTTTCAATACATATATATTTTTATATATAATAGATCTTTTTAAAAAACGTCTAACAATGGGCTCATGCAGAAGCATGAGCATGCTGTAACGAGATGACAGGTAAAGATGGGGTTGGATGACTATTTTTTTTGCAGCAGAATGATTCAGTTTGTGCTCAGTTTCCCTATAAGGGCAAGAAAAAAACCAACTCTATCAGGTAGCCACTTGTTCACAGTTTCCACTTGAAGACTAATCCATTTAAAAGCGTTCCTCAAGCAGAAACAAGACAACAGTATCATCCAAAATAGCCTCTGTATAAACATCTATTAATTTTTGCAGCTTCTGGCTGGCATCTCTTGGCTCCTGACATTTCAGGCCCTCTGTTTATAAATTAAGGCATCACAACTGAAAGTGTTAATATTTGGACATCGAATGCTGTGGATGAAGGAATACCAAAGACCTCCTGTGAGAACCTCCATAGAAATTAGGTGGCAAAGCTAACCTCACGTAAGGGCTGAGCGTAATTGATCCGCATCTGGTTTTGGAACCTTATTGAAACATTTTTACAATTAGTCTGATTTTTTTAAAACAACTGAATTGAATTGATTTTATCGGTATTTTTTATCTATATGTATATACAAGAATTAATTATTTGAAATAACTGGAATTTCTGCTTACTGTGGTTTACTCACTCCTATCAGGAAGGTCTTTTCTGTAGTAGACGGCATGTATCGTCCCCCAGAATACGCACTGAGCTACAACAGGTATTAGCGGGAGTTCTGCAGGCACATGAGCAAGGAGCTAGCTCCGACCTTAGACTGAGCTTGCAAATGTACCACGCATATCTTCTACTAAATCCTAGTGTTACAGCAGGAAAAAGTTCCAATCAGTTTTCTTTCTTCTACCGTGTGGAGGGGTGGCAGAATTACTACCCAGTACTTAGAGCTCTCAAGTACTATTCCTGCAATAGATGAAAACATGTGAAATTATGGCATAGTTGTGCTGTGCTCTTTCACAACAATCTTTTTTTCCTTTTTAAACAATAGTTAACTTTATCTAACTATCCATGACCTGATAAAACTCAACAAGTTCAAAAGCAGAAGAAAGAACAAAATGGGGATTTTTCTTTTCCAAAATAGCTTTGCTGTATTTAAAAAAAAAAATTCTCACTTTAAAAAATCCCCGAAACCTGACGCCAGAGCAGGCTCGCTGTAGCTTGCTAGAATGCCTGGCATGTTTGCTATATTTTTTTCTATGAATTTTATATATAAGCATATAGTTACGTCATAGTTAAAGGCACTAAAATCTAAACCCATTTTCTTCCTAATACGGCATCTGCTACTCACCAACCTGTTCTTAACACCAAATGCCACTCCTACTTGGAGATGATCAGAAAGGCAGCGTCACATTACAAATGCGTTATTGTGACTGGTCTTGACAGGGCTGGACGGCCCTCGATTCCCAGCACAGAAGGGGAGACAAAGGTATCTGGATTGTGTCCTGCCCTACCAATCAGACCACTCGGTTCTGAAAATGCTGCCCTGTTCACGTGGCCTCTTGCCGCACACGTAATCGCTTCTCTTCATCCCAAAAAGTGTTTTGTGTGTCAGCCTCGGCATCCTGGCTGAAAGTGCTGGATCTGAAGGTCATGTATATAGCTACATGAAACCTCTACTGAGGGGGTGAGATACTGTACACACAACATTGCTAAGAACATTATGAAAATGCAAGTCATTGTCTAGTCTAATACCTGAATTTGATATGTTTCATTCCCTGTCACACCTATGAATGCAAAAGCCATGAATGCCTTTTCGCGAAGCAAAGCATCCCTAACTGTAATCCTTAAACTCTTCCTTCCATCCACAGTCACAGAAAGCCTTGATTGATATAATTCCATGTTAATGAAGTAGAAATTTAAAATTTCGTAAAAAAACCCAAGGGCTATATATGCTGCAAAAAAATCTGCAGTGACTCAATAATAAAAAAAGTATGGGATCTTTGTAGTAATGCAGTTTTCCCTCCCGTTGCCACGATGAGCTTAACCAACAGTCTCAGCATGGCAACGGAAACTATCATCATAAAATGGTACAGTAATAGAGATAGCTAGACCAAGAAGGGGCAGGGTCTCCTGGGAAGAGGTCTGCAGAGAGGTCCAGTGACTGGTCATGCGGCTCAGTGTCAGGAATAATGGTTGTATGGTGGAAGGGGGTGCCCAATACCATTTTGGAAGTGATGGTGCTGACGATGGGCAAGGTACTCTGTGTAGCTCATTGTCATCTTCTCACTACGGTACCTAGAAAAGAGCAAAGAAACAAATTCAAGGACTGTTACCAGAAAGCTGCAAGTAGCACTAAAAATGCAGTGGTAGTGGCACGTTTAATGACAACAGCTCTGTATTTCTGCTGCTGGGAACAAGACTGACTTCACTTGCACAAAGGCAGGGAGGGAACCGCCACGGTTGTCAGGGTCATTCTTGAATCACTTCACAAACCACAACATAAGTGCCCATGAAAAACATTTTAAACAAACAGAACTGTTAGGAATTGTTGCCTAGGACGTCGCTCAAGGTAGAGGGAATAGAAACTCTTGATGATTTATTGAGGATGTCACAGAACTTCAGCCAACCCTCTACAAAAAAAGTAGGAGAAAAAGGGTAAACAAGCACTAGAGGTTTTGGGGCTGTTTTTAAACAATCAGTATCAACTGTCTGCCAAATTCTGCTTTTAAAATAATCCCAGCCACATTAAATGGAGTTATTTCTCTTTTAGACTACAATCCTAGACTACCTCAAATTCTACGGGACCCATAGGGATCCAGCCCAACTCCCCGTTCCTCGCAGGACTACCTAAAATTAACCACATGACCAAAAGCATCATCCAGACACTCTTTGAACATGCTTGGTACCCTGACCACTTCCCCGGGGAGCCTGTTCCAGTGACCAACCACTCTCTCGGTGAAGAACCCATTCCTAATACCCACTCTGAGCTTACCCTGGTGCAGCTTCACCCCATTTCGTGTCCTGTCACTGGTCACCAGAGAGATCAGCACCTCCCCCTCCGCTGCCGCTCGGGAGGGAAGCTTGGAGCATCCTGGTCTAGTGGAAGGTGTCCCTGCCCATGGCAGGGGGGTTGGAACTGAGTGATCTTTAAGGTCCCTTCCAACCCAAACCATTCCATGATTACAGAATTACCCTATCCCAGGTCCTGCACTTGCTCTTGTTAAGTGTTCTATGGTTGGTAATTGCCCAGCTCTCTATCCAGACCTCTCTGTAAGGCCTCTACCCTTGAGGGAATCCACAGCTCCTCGCAGTTCAGCAGCGTCGGCAAACCTCATGTGCATTTGACTCCTGCATCCGGGTCACTCACAGAGACATTACCAGAGCCCTGGCCCTAGAACTGAGTGCTGGGGAACCCACTGGTGACCAGCTGCCCACCTGACGTCACCCGGCTTACTGAAACGCTTCGAGCCTGAGCAACTGCTCACTCGACATACTATGGGCTGGGCTAGCAGCAGGCTGGACATTTTGTCCAGAAGGACACTGTGAGAGCATCCAGAGCTTTGCTAAAGTACAAAAACCCCACATCTACCGGCTTCCCTTGGTCATGCAGATGGGTGACCCTCGCATCAAAGGAGATTAAGTTCCTCAAGCAGGACGTTGCCCTCGTCACTGACCAATGACTGCGTTGTCTCCAAGTGTTTTTCATTAACTCCCAGAATAACCACCTCCATAGTTTTTCCAGGCCCTGAAGTGGGACTGACAGTCCTGTAATTCCCAGGGCCTTCCTCTTACCCTTCTTGAAAACTGGGACATTTGCCAGCTGCCGGTTGACTAGGACCTCTCCAGATTCCCAAGACCGTTGAAAAGGAACAGAGGTGCCACGATGGCATCAGCCAGCTCCATGTACCACAAGCAGAATCCAGGCCCTGACAACAAATATTTGGGCTACACTTGCACCAGCACTGTCTGACAAGAAGGAACATATTGCCACATTTACACTTCTCTGCAGAAGTGTAAAATCTGCACAAAACCAACACTATTCCACATTTGCACAAGTTTCACTTTAGAAAGACCTTGCATAAAGGATCTGACAGATGAGGTCTGGTGAATCCAGCTACAGTGATTTAAAATTCTGCCACTTTCTATCACAACTTTCTTCTGGAGTTGCTCTGGTTGTTCTCTGCTCTTTTAGGTCTGAAAAAACCACAGCAGATGGCTCAACCCCTCGCACTCACCACCCAACAGAAAGCTTAAACTACCGTTGGGTTACCGACTGCAGCAATTAAGGTGGCAAACACATTAGCTTCTGCTGCCTCTTTGCCAGGGGCAGGGAGCAGAACACCTTACGCTCGCAGCTTCTGCCTTCAGCCGGTGAGCTGCAGAGCGCAAAAGGTGCCCGCACTTGCTCGATACAACTATTTGTTAACGATGTACTAATTTAACAGGCGGCTGCTGGTCCTTGCTGAGGGATTAGCTGCAGCTCTCCTTCAACTGATGTGAAGGGTAGGCGGCACGCTGGTCCGTGAATGAAATCCCATGACAAAACTAAAGCATGCGCTTGGCACTTAACGAAGCTGGTTGGAAGTGGGTCAGAGCAGGCCAAAGGCAGCCCAACCAGCGTCCCATCTGCTTATGTCAGCCGATGAAATGCTTCTTTCTAGACCCTGGGAAGGGTACGCTTCCTTCAGCTCCACCCGTTCTCCGCTGTCGTCTGCGAAGCATGGCCAGAACTCCTGGGTGTTAACCTGGAGATCGTTAGCCACACACTAGTGTTGATCAGCTTACCGCTTCAGTCACACACAGGGCATTTCCTTCTATTCAGAGACTTGAAAAGGAAGTTAAAAGCACTTATTCCACTCTTCCAATACATCTTTTACCATATGACAAGTTACTAAAATAAGGCTCTAAAAGGTCTGATGCTGGGAAATGGTCCCTATTTCAACACCACTGTTTGCAATATGCCAGCAGAAGCTGCGTTTGTAAGGAAGTAAACCAGCCAGCCAAACCCCAGATTTCTTCTCAGCATTAAAAATGGTGCTTTGTTTATTCCACTTGCCAGGCCAGTGATTCTGCTGGCTGTTTGGGTGTTGTGTGCTTAAATACACTAAACACGGGCGTTTTGGTGTTTTTCTGGGGGGTGGTGGTTTTGGGGGGTTTTGTTTGGTTTGTTCTGCGCTCGCATGCCATTGCTCCAAACAAAATCACGGAGCTGGAAGAAAATATGTGCTATTTAGAATGTTCATTTCTTGGAAAAATAAATTCCTTAGCTAGTGAGGTGTAGAGAAATTGCCATTTAAGAACTACAGCACTGTTACTCTCACCCTCAGCTCTGTCCATATATTCTTACTGAATAGAAGGTTACAAGGTGTACAGCTGAAATAAATGAAAAGGGGACAGGGGTTCAGCATTTGGGAATTTAGCTGGATTCTGTAAATCCTTCCTCCCAGATTTAACCTTCAGAATAGCGTCTTCTCCTTAGTTACAGCTACTCCACAGTAATCAGGTTCCTACAAGAATCCGGAATCTGAACAGTGGCTGGGACACAAGGTCTTTATTCTTCATCCACAAGATCACTGAATAAGTAATTCCTCCAATACCAAAAGATTTGTTTTCCTAAGAAATGCTTTGTCTTCTACTTGCTCTGAACTAATTCTACCACTAATGCTAAGTAATAGCAAGATTTGTAGATGAAGACGGCAAACATGGAGGCTGAAAAGAACCAAAATCTCAGGGATTGGTCCTATAAAAGTCCATAAACAGGAGAATCCAAGTACTCTCAAATGTCTGAAATGAAAGGACTGGGGTTTAATTAGGGACAAGGAAGTCGAGTCTCCCTTACACCTGGCTGCACTGAGGAGAGAATTGCCACAGAAATCAGGACACAGATACCAGGATGATACGCACCACATTTTTAGGACTAATTTTGTGACCCTACGAGTGTGAAAAGTTGATACGAGGCAGGAAGGGTAACACCTTAGGAAAAAGGAGTCTACCTTTGTTATTTGTATTAACAGAATGTCAAACGTGGCCTCCCTGAAGAGGATGAACAGCCAATGCTTCCTTATGATTGAAATCAGGGAAGTTTAGATTAGATATCAGGAAGAAATTCTTCACAGAGAGGGTGGTGAGGCACTGGAACAGGTTGCCCAGAGATGTTGTGGATGTCCCATCCCTGGATGTCTTCAAGGCCAGGCTGGATGAGGCTTGGAGCAACCTGGTCTAGTGGAAGGTGTCCCTGCCCATGGCAGAGGGGGTTGGAACTGGGTGATCTTTAAGGTCCCTTCATACCCAAACCATTCTGTGATTCTATGATTCTATGATGTAAGACCTAAAAAAATTATTTCTCCAAGCATGGAATTGATAACTAGAGTTTAGCAGTCATTTTCCACTGCAAGCTTATAAAAAGGTATCGTTTTAGAGACATCCTTATAGACATTCACTCCTCCGCCCTTCATGTAACGACAATATTATGGGCAGAATATCTGCTGCTAATTCTAAAATATTTTGGCTCCTACTCACTAAGAACACCTTTTATTAAATTAGCAAAATCAACATACACTAGTGTGCAAGAGTGACAGGTATGAAATACTAAATTCACGTCTTTCACTCTGGAGACCCCCCCGACGCAGTCCAACGGGTACAGCAGCTGTCCATCAGGTACCGCACTCCGGTTAGGACGAGGGAAACCTGTACCCCGCAGCAGATAGGGACGACCCAATGGTTCCTCTGAGAACCAAAGAGATTACTGGTACTGAGCAGCCCCCGCGACTTCTCCGCAGCAACCCCACAGGGCACCATCTGCTCAAATACAGACTGAGAGCAGCAAGTAATCCTCGTTAACAACGGCCCCTGGAAATCCGTTCCCACCAGCGAACACAGTGCAGCGAGCAGGAGCTGATGCACCGCGAAGGTTTCAGGGTTACGAAACAACAGACGCGGGTACCCTGGTACTGACACAACCTGGTACTTAACAGCGGCCTGTTCTCTCCTGCTCAGTGCCACTGATCTCTGCGAAGGCACAGGGATTCCCAAAAGTCCTACAGCTATTGTGAAAAGAAAGAAATCCTTAATAATGTACACAGGAAAGCTTACAGTGAACAGCTGAAACAAGCACTTACCGGGAATGAACACATCACAGCATTATAAGGACTTATCTGCAGTATCCCGCGAGGCATACCTGGTTAGCTTTATTGTTTTCCTGAATTCATTAGTGATCGGAGCTTTGTAGCCTCCTTTCCTCAATAAGGAATCTATGGTTTGAATGTGGTCCCATCCTGTGAATTTTACAGTAGTGAAAACTGGTGAGAAACACAGCAGCAAGAAGAGATGTTGCAAACAGACAGTACAGTGCGTCGCGTCACTGAGAGTCCTCTGCTAAACTTCTGTATGAAGTGTAGCTCCTTATCCCCTACTCGGATACAGCTGAGGGAAATGTGAGGTATGGGATTTCTTTACACACAACAGGTATTTCTATCTCGTGGCTGAAATATTTTAGAAGTGGACCCACTGTATCCAGGTGTCCTAGACTGGGGGTGAGACACAAAATGAAACTTTTCTGAAACGATCAGGTTCTGAGCACGGATCACAATCACTTCATACATGTCTGTGTATGTCATCACAGACGTACAAATGTCTGTGACAGTATGAAACGTTACATTTCTGGATAAAATTTTAAATAATTAGTAGTTAAACATGCAGAGAACTTCAGAGATTAGACTTCTCCATAAATATCACTTTACTGTAGTATTTCCAATTTCAGAACTACTAAACACTGTAGGTAGCTGGGCAATATCAAAAGTGATAGATTAAAAATACAGATTCATTATTGTTCGCAATAAAATCTTCATGCTATTCAAAATTCCTATTTATTGATTTTAAAAAGCCTAATACTTGAAGTAGCTGTTACACATGTTATTTCCAAAAGATGCAATTTGATTAGTCACATTGTTACGTTAAAAAAAGGGTAGTCTGGGGTATATAAAAAATACAAGTGGATGTTTAAGAGACTGGTTGGAAACAGAACTACCAATTTCAGATGATCCTCAGTAAAGGTTTCACCCTATTCCTTAGCAGACCAGCTCAAATATGAAAAGAAAAAAAAAAGCCCAGCAATGGAAAATGTAAAAGTCTGAGACACGTTGTCAAGCATGGAATAAAACCCCGTAGTGAGCAGACTAAGCTGTTCAACAAAACCTACTCTAGTTTTTTTAACTCACAGACTTTGGTCTGTGCCTTTATTAGGACTAGAACAGTGTTATTTTTGGACCTCACATCGAAAGCAATTCCCTTCCATCCATCAGAAAACCCACAAAGCCAGTGTTTCCTTTATAACAGGAATTAACTACTAGCAGAAAGTACCTAAGTGGGAAAAAACCCCAACAAACCAACCTTGATTGCTGCGAATTTAGGAATAAATCAGCTGTTAAGGTAACTGACCAGAGATGCATCACTGTAGAGTTTGTGCACGTCACTGACATCACAGCGTAACAACTGTACAAAAGTGGCAGCTTTTAACGACCGTGAGGCCCTCGGACAGCACTGCACCACCCACCCCTCTGTTTCATTTCCCCACAGCTACACTGCGCGTCCGACTGGTTTAAACAGCAGCTACATTTTACTGAGTCCCTCTAAGGGGACTGCTACAGGCACGGAATCGGCATTTTATAAAAGAGTCTTCTTACAGGTAAATCTGGCTCCATCATCTGACATCAGTGCAAGGTCAAACAGTGCATTTTAGATTTATATGTACGTTTAAATCCTTCACCAGATCATATGAAATAAAGTGCGACAATGACCTTGCTCCTTTGCAACCTCCGGTAAGTAGGTGGCGGTGCGTTTTGATCCTTTTTCATTGATGAATTCTATCCTAATGCCATGTACACCCACCTGCAAGAGATCGGCAGCTTTGTTAGTACACCGACAGAGAAAAAGAGATTTCCAACATGATAAAACCCACATGTGAACCTTCCCGTGGCGAATACCGTTTTGCACAGAGTTTCAAGAGGCGGTGCTGAAGTGAACGTAACCCTTCCGAAAGGAGTTCACCGTGCAGCCCTGTAAGGTCACCCCTCGGCTCCCTGCCACGGAGCTTCACTCCTGGGCTGAGGGACAGCCCGCTGCGATGCCAAAGTCGCTCTGCCTCCGCTGGTGCCCTGGCACCGTCAGCAATGCTGAGGCTGCCGAAGTCACCCTGTCGCCACACAGAATCGAATGAGGCTTCAATTAGGAGCATTAATTGTGTTCCACGTAACAACTGAACAACGAAAGCATGAGGAAATGGAAGAGTCTTTTCCCCATGATCCTAACATTTCTTAAATAGGAAAAATTACTTTGAGACTAACAAATCTGACTCCCTGCAAATTTTAATGTGATATTTCATTACCAAACACTCCTAAACCTGACCTTCCTAACATGGATATATAATCACTGGAGCAATCAGATCTGTATATGCAGATGATGCCGTTATGAACCCAAAGGTTCATAGTTTCAATGGACTTCCAGCCCCGTGTCTGTAGAAGAAGAAGACGTAGAGGAAAATAAACAAGGCAGGACAGTTGCACCCACAATTCCTCTGGTGTGGAAGATTTCATGGTGTTCTGTGAAGCGAAGCGGCACTCTCGGTCCGGTACCGATGGCCCCTCATCGTTCAGCTCCGGTTAACCCACAGCAGGCCCGAGTTCAACAAAGGGGAGCTACACACAAGCAAAAGGAGAGCGATCCGCACTAAGACTGGCCTGGGCAGAGGTGGGAATTTATTTTGAATTCCACAAGAGACCAACATTCCTGCACTGATGAAACCTGTGAAACTTCCCAAAATATTCCTCTCCAGGATGGGAGGTACGTGTTTGGAAGGCAGTACCTGGACTGTAACCGGCCTGCCTACCAGGCCCAGCACAGAATGCTGTACGGAGCCATGGGAACGCTCCTCAGAATCACTGATACACGACAGGCAAGTTTTTGTAGCATAATCTGTGCGGTTCAGAAAAACTGACCAACCATCTTCTCAGATGGAGGTAAAGTTCTGTCTCATCTCCTCCCATTTACTAGGAAATGACTACGTGCCGGTATCCTGAGCTGCGTAAGGACACGCGGTTGCTCTGTCCGCCTCCCAGACGGAATCTATTTAGACTGTTGCTCCTGGGAGAGGAAAGTGAGAAAAGGAGAGAGACTTCAAAGGTGACAAACCACTCGCTTCCAACAGAAGTATTTCCACAGGGCTTGAGAGCATGGAATACTGTATTCTGCGTACCCAACGCCCGTGGGTATAAACATTCTGGCCCGCTGTGTAAGTGGCCAGGGGCTACTTAAAACTAGATCCAGTGACAATTACACCCAGATCTTTCGCTGCACCTAAGCACTGCATTACACTGCATTTTTTCATTTTACTTCTGAAGTGACCTCAACAGAACTTCAGACTTTGCTGTGTATTTACACACATTCACCTTTGTTCATACACCTTTTTTTAGTGAATCGTTTATTTACACATACTTCAGGATGGGGAAGCACACACACACCAGATTTATTGTTCTGCCAAGCTTTTTTTTCCTGCCCACGGTACCGCTCTGTGTCCACCTCAGCTGGGCTAAAAAGCAGTTGTTCCTAAACCCACCCCAAAACCGAAGCTCAAGCGACTCTCGTGTTTGGCTGCTCTGAGCTGCAAACACAGCTCACAGGTCTCTTCCTCTTGTGCTGACCCTCCAGCCACACCAAGAGGGTGAAATAACCATATTCTCGTCAGGCCATCAACAGGGGATTCGCATAAGCATCTCGAACGTCGAGCCTTGCCGAAATTTAAGCTCCTAGTCCACTGCCGAGTAAATTGTCATCAAATAATCATTCTATTCAGTCTTATCTACTGCACTGAAATCTGCCAGAGATTTCCATGCAATTATCACTAATTAGTTTAAGATTAATTAATTGCAAATATTTTTTCAGAAATACATTAAAGGAGATTACAAAGAACCCACACGGAATAGCCAGGAGCTGGAGTAGTGCAACAGCTCCTTGGTGTTACCAACAATGTCTGCCTGTTCCTGAAGTTCACCCGCTGTTTGCTTTCTCCTCAGACCAGAGACACGGCTCGAGGTACAATCTCACCGCAGTCACACTGTGACCAACTCTGCCGGCCTGCCTCCCGCTTCCACCGGAACAAGCACTCCGTAACCGCGCGATGAACCAGATCTGGCCGTTCGGGGTTACGGCCAACCCTCTGCCGACTCCTGCTTTGTCAGCTCAACCTCTCAACGGCAGCAAGCTATCAACTTTTCAAACAAAACAGCTGGCCTCTAACTCGTACAGTACTCCTTACGACACCACCTAACACAGCGACTTCCCCTTTCTTCACCTAACTAGCGCGATGGAATCGGCTGTACGCAGACTAGTCTGGAAAGGAACACGTCGGGTTAAGCAAACACTGCTGCTTGTTAGAAGCTGAGCCCACTCCTTACTCACTGACTCCTGCAGCTTTTTAGCCCCACACATGTATCAAATATTCTGGCTTCTGTCTGAGCATCTTCAGCAGGGCTGAAGTATTACGTTCTGATGTAACAATGGAGGCGAAAGACTCTGCTTCACGACAAGCGTTCTTCTTTTAACAAATACTTTATTTATATGCATGGAATCACTGAAGTCCAAGCAGAATAAATACTGACCCCAAGAGTATTCTTCTCTGTTCCCAGGAATACAAGCTGCCAGAGTCGCTTGTGCCGCTGCACTTGCAGGAAGGAAAGCATGTACTAACTTTGTCAACAAGGAAAAGCCACCGTTCAGCTAACAGTACTGGCCGCAACTACTTCAGCTAATATTTAAACCGGTGCATACAAGCTAAAGGCCTTTTGGATCAACACAGCAAGGAGGCACAGTTCTGCAGACGTAAATGACTCCGTGTGACACTCAGTTGACACTAACGTGGTGATCGTCCTGCTTGCTGCAAGGGTAACTGGAGTGTGGCGAAGCAGCATCGGCCTCGGTTCATGACTAAAGGCGGGGTGGAGAGTGGATAGACTGCAGCCCTGAGGAGAAGGACTTGGGGTACTGGCAGACAAAAAGCTGGACATGAGCCGTCCGTGTGCGCTGGCAGCCCGGAAGGCCAACCGTATCCTGGGCTGTATCAGAAGTGTGGCCAGCAGGGCGAGGGAGGGGATTCTGCCCCTGTACTCGGCCCTCTCGTGACACCCCACCTGGGGTGCTGCGTCCAGCTGTGGAGCCCTCAACATAGGGAGGATATAGACGGGTTGGAGCGAGTCCAGAGGAGGCCACGGAGATGCTCCGAGGGCTGGAGCCCCTCTGCCATGGGGACAGGCTGAGAGAGGTGGGCTTGTTCAGCCTGGAGAAGAGAAGGCTCCGGGGAGACCTCCTTGCACCTTCCAGTGCCTGAAGGGGCTACAAGGAAGCTGGGGGGGGACTTTTTACAAGGGCAGGGAGTGACAGGACAAGGGGTAACAGGTTCGAATTGAAATCAGGGAGGTTTAGATTAGATATCAGGAAGAAAGTCTTCCCGGAGAGGGTGGGGAGGCACTGGGACCGGTTGCCCAGAGAAGCTGTGGATGGCCCATCCCTGTGAGTGTCCAAGGCCAGGCTGGATGCAGCTTTGAGCAACCTGGTCTGGGGGAAGGTGTCCCTGCCCATGGCAGGGGGTGGGACTGGATGATCTTTCATTCTCCGTAAATGAAACTGAAGCCATCACAGTGGTTACTACCAGAAGTCAACCTACTAAAGCAGAAACGTTCCACCATTTTCATTGTTGACCTCTAGCTTGGTTTAGCTTAAAAGTCCCTACAGACTTGAAAACACTGTTTAAAGTACCCTAACGGCTCAGTGATAAGACAAAGTACTTCTCTGGGCAAAGCTTCTTGTTGGAATGCACATACAGCCTCAGCGAAGATTTATTTTTGGTCTGACAATACATCAAAAATGAATAATTCTGATTATGGTGAAAATGCTGATAAACCCCAAAGGAAACTTACATTCACCTCATTCAGAATTACATATCAGAGGGAAGAAGCCCTTGTCATTATGACTGAACAGGAAACGCATTTTTAGTAGCTTTTCAGCAACTCTAAAATTCATAATGCTAAGGTTGCTGCTGGGTATAACCATTTTAAGAACAAAAAAAAGAAATTCCTATTCAACATACATTTGTTATGTGTTCTTTTAAGAAACCCTATTTAGTAGGGCTAAGTCATTATTGAAGGGAAATACCGTAACTTGCATGGTGCCTCTGGCAGTATAACATGTCCGCTATCATACACGACAATTTCCACATGTTTTTATGTCCACTCAAATAACAGACTCAAGGAGCAACACAACAGTCATACTGGCTGAGATGAGAAGTTCACCTGAAGTCCAACTTCAAATAATTTGGGAAAAAGCAGAATACAGAAGAACACTTCCTTCAGTACACCTTCCCAGGGATAATTCTAAAAGCAGCATTTGCTTCATAATTTCTTAGGCTGCTGTTCCAAGAGAATGCATGCAGTTCTCTAGAACCTAACAATTAAGACAGATCCAGCTCCCATGCATAAGTAAAAAGAAAAACGAGAGCAATGATGCCCTTGGCCTCGTTGTAGAAGGGCTTTGCGGGTCTGCGCAAGCCACTGGCTCTGAAAGCAAAGTTTTGGGAAGATAAACGGCTCACTCCTACGGGCTAAAGAAGGCAGCTTGTCTGGGGCTGTGATGTCTGGCCGTGCTTCCTTCCAGAAGCATACACCAGACTTTCATACTGGAACATGCCCTCTGCAGAACAACTGGCCCGATCCCCCGTGTTTCTGTAGCTAAGCTGCAAAAGCCACCTCAGGCGCCAGCACGCAGACACCACCCTGCCTGACGGAGGCCTCGGCACAAGTCCAGCTGCGCAGGCCACTTTTGCTCCGAGCGCCCAGGGGGCAAGAACACACCTTCGTTCCGTCTCCACGGCCTTTGAAGGCGATGACAGCGCTGTCAAACAGGACCTTTTCAATCTCTGCACAGCACAGCGCGTGTGGAGCGCGAACCGGCCACCGCTCAATGCAGGCAGGCAATTTAAACGGTGTGACTTCCGCTGGAGATGCTCGTGGTGCGAAAGCACTTGTCGTGAACGGTTTCTGACGTCCTTACCTCCCAGTCCATGTAGTCACACACATCTTCAAAGTTAGTGAGTAGAGACACTGAGCAGAAAAGCCGTGGCAGCTCATCCCTCGTCATTGGGGGGAAACGACTATCTTTAAGGGCACTGTTGAAGACAAAACAGAATTTCAAAGGATTTTTTTTGTTTGCTTGTTTTTAAGTTCAAGGATCTAATGAATCAACTCAAAAATATAAAGGACCAAAACCCCCTGATGAAATGATGACCAGTTTGATAATCCCGTCGCCAGTGCAACACACTGACCAACATTCCCAACATTTTCCTTAGACACTGCAGTCCTTGGCTGGCCAGTCAGGTGTTCTGAGGGTCATTCCTTCCCGAGCTGGTTTTGCTACTGTGACCACCTCATTAACGAAGCAGCAGAGAGCTTTTGGAAAAAGTCACAAAAGCAATAGCTCTTCTACTTGCAATTTAGTAAATCCCTCTCAAAAAGGATTAAACTACACGACATGGGGAAATTCTATAGCCTGCAATACTCAAACATGATATACAGTAACCAAACTGGAGAACTTAATTATTCCTGAAAAAATAATCCAAACAAGCAGAATATTCTCAAAAAAAAGAGTAATATTCATGCTTACTGGCAAAGGTGAATGTAAAAAGGTAAAAACACCCAAGGGCTCTACAGACCGGTGAACCTACAGGCCTCGGAGCTGTTCCGCAAAGCAGAGGGAATGGTTAGCAACAGGGAAGCTTGCCAACAGCTACGCTAGTCCTCGGACTACCGCACCCTTCTAGAGACACACACCCCCCTAACGGGGCGAACTGCCCGGAGAGCGGAGCTGTCTGTGCGCACTCAGCGCGCGCTGACAAACAAAGCCCTGTCAGACAGCGAGCGGTACCACAGTAAGCGCGTTCGTAAAAACCTGCCAAGGTGGGTTAAGAACCAGTTAAATCGGAAAAGGGAAGGTTAAAGTGAGTAAGGCATCTCATAAATCCATTCTCTTCAGATCTGAACTGACGTGTATGAACACATGCTCATCTCCAGCAAAGAGTGATCTGCTCCGGTTTTTGATGAGTAAGGGGAATTTAGGAATAAGAGACTAACTAAAGTACTCCCCAGTTGTTCTCGTGTCTCATTGTTTCACCTAACAATTGGATCGTTCTCACTCGTTTTACCTGGCCCACAACCAGCGGTTGCCGTTAGCTGCTGTAACTGCAGCCAGGGCCGTGGTGGTGAGCACACGGCTCAAGTCTCTGCGCCAGGCGCCACCGTTTGTGCAGAGTGGTAGAACTTTGTGAAAGCAGACCAAATAAGGACGCCTAAGCAAAAAATGTAAAGTTTAGCTGAAGGAAATCATCACGTGTATAACCAGAAGTAGCTCCCCATCATGAACTGATACCATCCACTGTGGAGTTAAAACAGAACCCTTGTCTCCCTGGGCTGGGGGAAGGCAGGCTTTTTCCCAGATATGCTACAAGTACAAAAAGGAACATCGCATTGGACTTTAGACCAGAGGCCTTTCTCCAAGCTTTGGTATTTTCACATTACAAAATAGGTCAGAAATTCCCATACTCATTATGAAGACAAATTCGTTATATAATGAACAGTCAGTGGGCCTACGCCACCCATTCTTTAGTGTAATTCCAGGCAACCCCAGGTGAAGTTGCCACAGAAGTGAGGGATGACGTGAGGACAGTAACAGCGCTGGATTTCTTAACCACAGCCAAGATAAAACCTTTTGACATTTGTGTAGGATAGACGGGCCTACACAGACCTGTGAAGAACTGGGAACACAGAGGAGATTTAAGGCGTAATGCCTGTGCTATTTAACCAATGACTTCCACTGGAGATGTAGCAAAAGATGGTATTGTCCAAGATTTTGTTGATGGGATTGGCAAAGCTGGCTCTGTAACTGCGGGGAACCAGGCCAAGGCACCATCCTCCGCTGCCTGGTGTTTCAGAGCAACTCAGGTAGCCACAGCGTAATAGCAACATAGACTGTATGTGAAAACACAAACAGCTAATTCAGCCTCCGTACGCCTCCATGTAGCAGGGGTGAAAAATGTAAAGGGAGGATGCTCTGAACGCAGGGACGGCTCAAACCAGACGTCCAGCCAGCCTGGTATCAGTAACCAACAGCAGCTAGCAAAATGGATGAACTAAGATCGTGGTAGATACCCAGGGGTACTATCCTGGAATCCTCTCCAGGAATCCCGCTGGATTGAAGAGATGGCATCTCTGCACCTAAAAGCCCTTCATGGGTTTATTTACTAAGTGCATGCACACACGCTTTTAATATTTTACCCCGCCCTTTAATAAAGCTAAAAAATCACGTTCAGAAACCCCAATGCTCTTAAAATCCACTGCTACTACAAGTTTGCCTATATGCAAATTTCTCATTTCCCAGAGGTAAGCTGCACCCCCGCCCCAGAACCAACCAAGCAGAGTACACCACGGAAGAGCAGCCGGAGAGACCGGCATCATCTCATCAGCAGACACCACGGTCAGTCATGCTGCCAACAGCTGAATGCACGGATACTGCCACGGCTTGTTTACACCTGGTTCTCATAGTTACACAGTGATCTTACCATGCAAAACCTTTCTCACACTAAGTAATAACAGCCTCCAAAAGACTTTGTTTGTTGGCGCAAGGCGATACTAGCGGTTTACCCAACTTTTGGTTCCCCTTCTGAAAGCTGCCAAAATGCACCTGCGGATTTCAGCTTTCTGAAGCGAAGGATGCCTGCTGCGAGTGTAAGCCTGATCCCAGTCACGACAGCAGCGAGTCTCGGGCGAATCCCTACTCCCGGAGATCCGCTGCACCGGTACGACCGGATGAGACCGTCCTTAACTGAAATCCTTTAAGCTGTAGAGGAACAAACACACGACACCCACCTAGGCCATGTCTCAACCAGCCTGCTCAGAGGCTGGGATAATAATCTGAAACAAGATGGGAGAATCACGACAAATAGGAGTATTGATAAAAGCTGAGAGAGGAGACCTGGCCATGAACATAGTGGAAGCAGAAAGGCACACACGCCTCAGGCACATGTGGCCCACAGAGTAGGTCAGATTCAGGGAAAGCAGAGCGGCGTGGTAGACGCTGACACCTCAGCAAGCTCAGCTGGCTAATTCCGTAATTCCACAGTGGCACAAATACCTTCCTTTCACCCAACTACCTTCCTCAAAACAACTAACGCACTGTTTATCAAGTGACAGTGCCATCTCAACCACACCTGGCTCCTTCAGATCCGCGAGGTGCGGGTTTACCCGTGCAGCCTGCTGAGAGACCGCTCAGCACCTCCTGGGCTATCCGCACACGTACCCCGTGCCGGCACTCGCGCTGCTGATGGCGAGTGGGATACCCGGCAGCGCAAGACCGGAGGTTCGAGCAAGTCCCCGACACCACGGTGACTGGTCAATACAGAGTAGTGCTGCTGCTCTACTCCCTTCCCCATCTCCCGATTTGTTTTCAGCTTTGCCTCTGTCGTTACATACGTAAACCCAAAATTTACCCGAAGAAATGTGAGTTGCAAACAATCAGCGACTGGAACAAAACACACCGAAGGGTGGTGCCAGCAAGAGCGCATCTATGGGTGCTGGTTACCCAGCATGAGATCACCTGTCTGCTCATGCCGAACTGACGGAACTAAAATAGTCCAGCGATGGCACCGGGTGCCAGCTTTAGAAGAACTGGCCTAAAACTTAACAGCCCTGCCCTGATGAGCTGGATCTGGGTGCCTCATCACTAACTTTAACCTAGGAGATGTTTACCTTTAACTTAGAATACACAGCACTGCAAAAGTACAGACATCATCTCCATCGTTCTTTTATTATTATCATGGTCAAGGAGTTCATTCCGGACACCTTTTAAAAACCTAAGAGCAGACCAGCTTCGGATCACCTCTTCACACATTCACTATTTTCATTTTTGCACTTTTTAAATGCGTGGCTAGCAGGAGACACGCGTCATCCGAGATGCTTCCCTCCGGAATTCAGCCATTATCCTTAAGCCTGAACTTTCTCCCTGTGGGCAGTGAATAAATCCCCATCCCGCCTGTTCCGCTGTCAGGAGAGCAAGCGGGCGGCACGCAGCACAGCTCCTCGGGCAGCTCTCCAACTGTACAAAGCCTGAGCTCCCAGCGTGTAACGGGATCGCCCTCGGAAACGGCAGCGGCTCTCAACACCTCCCAAGGATAAAAAAGGCTGCACGTGCTTTTCCTGTTGCTCCCATTCTGGGAAGAAAGACCATCGGCTCCGAGAGGCAGGAGCTGGGCAGTGACTTCTGAGGAGAGCGCAGGAGGCGTGTACGTACGTCAGCTCGGACTCTGGCCTCGCTTGCCGTGTCAGCACAGCTCCTGGCGACCCACCAAAGTGACATACAGACACGGTAACCTCCACTCGCTGTCCCCAGAAGCCTGCGCTGCACAGGACGGAAAGTCGCCGTGTAATTGCCTGTCAGCGCTCCTGCTCAGCCGAGGAGACTGTCCTGTTCAGCTGATGGAAGCAGCATTTTTGAAGTATCAGAATGCCGTATTCTTCTGTCAATTCTTCCACTGGAAAGACAAGAGGATTCTTACGGAACAAAATCTGGCACACTGGATACCAGGTTCACAAAATATTAACTCCGCAGTTGTTCTGTTACAGAACTAAAGCAGGGTAAGTGGAAATAATTAGTAATACGTTGGAAAAATTAGGCCGAGTTCAAAACTACTTCTAAAGAAAAAAAAAACTAATTTTAAAAGCATTTTCTAAACCGTCTGTTCTTTATTCCTTAATTCCCAGAACTAATTTACATATCTTGCTGCTGAGTAAATGGAAGCACACAGTGGTGAAGGGTTGAAAAGGAGCAGTGCCAGGCAAGGGGAATTCTAGGCTGGCCAATAAAAGGACATTAGTTTTCCCACACGGAGTACTGCTCCGTGTTAGAAGCGAAGCAGGCGAAGTCAAAACTGAATCCTGTTCAAAGAAAACTATTTTTAGACACAAAATGCATACACACACGCACAGCCTTTCCAGTTAGATACACTTTATTTATGCAGTCTTGGGCGTCCTACTAAGAGCAAGTAATTGCCAGTCCAGGAAAAAACAAACCAGTGTTACTCAACAATCAGTTCTCCCTCTGCTGAGCCACGCTACACAAATCTCAGCCTCTCCTCAAATGAAGTTTATTTGGCCAGAAGCTCTCCAGAAATATTTTTCAATAATTTCTTTTTCCACGTACCACTCCTCCTTGTATCTGGGATACTGAAAAACTTGGAAACACTTTAAAGACACTGAAAATACTTAAAGGAAATTGTTCAAAGTATTTTGCGTGACCATGACAAACAGCATGAAGATTAGGGGGAAAAAAAACCCAAAAGGCTTATATTCCTTAAGACTACAACTTGTTTTTGTAAAATGCCACCAGAGAAGCTCTCAGAATCATCTGAAATAACAGCGTGAGCAGATGAACAAAAATGCAACACATTGCTGCATTGTCCATCTGTAATTTCTGCAGCTATAAAAATGCTTTAAGAAAGAGTCAGCTTCAGTCTTTACGATCCCATGGCTCTTAAATGTGATGGGGCAGATGGGCAACAAACAGTAGGGCACAAACTGGGGAAACGAAGAATAGTTACAGAGCTACAACACTCAGTTTAAGAGTGCCTGAAAACCTCTGCGACTGAATTTAAAG